CTTTGGCCATCATGTGTTTTTGCCACCTTCCATAGTTTCGACTTTGATTCTTGATTTTTCACCATTTGTGCTCAAAATTTTTTAATAATAGCCATAGAAAATGAATTCTAGCCAACACCTGGATTCTCTTCACGCCAATGAAACCATAACATTGCTTCATCATCTTCCATGCTCATGAATATCCACTGCAACTTATCCTCAGAATGAATTTTGTTCTTCTCAAAGAACTTTTCAGTCGGAGAGATCCACCTGTTGTACCCTAATTTTTGACCTAAGATCCCACATCATTTGCATCACCATATAAGTCATCTAGCTTCAATAAATCATATATATCATTTGATTCATCTGTCTATCTCACACAAGTTGGCCTTCAAATGTATCATTATCATTGATCATAAGAGAGTTTGAATCACATATTGCTTGTGCTTTGGGATCATCATCTTCATCACAATCTCATCGCATTAGGGTTTCATCATGGATTCATCAAGTGCTTGAAGAGAATTAGGGTTTTTGTACCCTTTGTCTTCAGATCTTCCAACTTTGTTTCTTTGGAGCATCTTGTCTTTAGAAGCTTTTATCTTTAGCATCTGGACTTTAGTAGAAACTTGAGTCTTCAGATCTTCTGACTGGTTTCTTTAGAACAACTTCAGATCCTTCTGGAGTGTCTTACTACTGTTTAACAGAACTTGTGTATCATAGAAGTGGAATCAATTCTCTTCTAATGTCTTAGCCACACTATTCATCAGAAGCAAAACATGTTTATTAAGTACTCAACAATAACAAACATTAGAGTATCAAAATTGTTCATACAAACATACTCATTTGTTATCATCAAAACTCATATATTATTACTGAACCAAATCTTGTTCTTACACAAACATGCTTTTAAACTTCCTAATACTCAGATGTACATCAAGACTCAGATAATACCATATAATGTACAGAAACACTAAAGTATCCTAGTTTTGACTGAAGGTGTGAGAAACACAAGAAAGGGGGGGGGGGGGGGGTTGAATAGGATTTCTGGATTTAAAATAAATTCTTCCCAAGACAAAAACAAAGAACACAAGAACAAAAATAAATGACACATATATTTTTATCCTAGTTCACTGTTAGCAAAGTTAATACAGTCCATCCGCCAAGGTGATTTTCCCTTCTCAAACAAGGACTTAATCCACTATAAGTGAACTGATTACAAACCCAACAAAGACCAACTATCAATGTTACAAACCACAAAGACTACTTGTCAATGTCTTCTTGAGAATCCTGACTAATGCCCTAGTCTCTCAAGGAACTATCAACTTCAAAGTTGAAATGTAAAGAGTGTGTTTACAGACTTGCTTCTCGAAAGCAGATTACACAATTTTTAGTACAATGCAATAACACAATAGTGTTAATAGCAAGTTAATGAACAAATTCCCCTTGCTTTCAAGTTAACGAATAAAATTTTCTTGTGATTACAAAACTTTACAAAGATATTTGAAATAGAGTTAAGTGGCGTTTCAACGTAAGTTTTGTTGAGCATAAAGTTGTTTTCCAATTCTTCCAGCTGCTTTGTCCATAATGATCAGTGAGGAAGTGGTAGACAACATAGTACCATAGTACAATCCTTGTGCCACCATATCAGGATAGTGAGAACATTTGTACCTTGTATTATTCTCTCACGTAAACCAATTTTGATCTTATCTTCTAATCTTCAGAGGCTTCTGATGGTTGATGATGAAAAATCCTTAGAAGGATCAAAACTAGAATCTTAAGAACCTAAGTCTTCAGAACTTGTTCACCCATAATCTTGTCTTCAGAGTCTTCAACACTTGGTCTTCAAAATCTTTGTCTTCATAATCTTTTTCTTCAGAATCTTCAAAACATGTTCTTCTGAAACCTTGTCTTCAAAATCTTTAGAACTTGGACAAACAAAACCAGAGCTTGAGAAGTATTCATAAGCTCTTCCAAAAGAGTCACAATCAGAAGCTCTATCACTAACGTTCATTAAAATTGTTGTTATATAATCATTCTAGAACTCTACTGGGACTTGTAAACACAACAAGTTTCTCCCAGAGTCAGAGTGTGTTGAGTTCACAACCTGATGACATCACACGCCTTATCTTCAAAGTCAGAACTTGTTAACAAAAGCTACACACTAGACAGAAATCGTCAGAGTACTAAATTATTCTCTAAATATATCATGTAATTTTATCATCAAAACTTAAGGTCGAATGCAAAACCAAATCATGTTCTTACATTGACATCATACATAATATCTCTAACGAGAAAATGCACTCACAAACATTTTTTTATTGATATACTTTGGAGAGCATGTGGCTCCCTATTTATGAGACGGAGAGGTATATTTTTGAACTTCCTCTATTTTTTATTTTGTATCCAAATTCAACTTAATTGATCCTGTTATATTTTGTTTTCAACAGGAGCGTGGATGTCTGAAATATGTGAACCATACAAGAAAGATTCACAATCTTAATCATCCTCTGGAAGAGTGGTTCCAAAACGCACTTCAGAACTCCGATCTTGTAGGTCTTTGTGCTTATAGGTACACCAACATCATCCATGGAATACAGGTTGCATTTGCTGAGAGATGGCATAGTAAAACGTCATATTTCTACCTCTCTATTAGTGAGATGACTCTTACACTAGATGATGTAACATGCCTCCTGCACCTGCCTATTAGAGGAAGGTTGCTTGATCATTATGAGATTAGCAGGACTGAAGCAATGGATATGATGGTGACTTATTTGGGAGCTGAATATGTGGAAGCCTTTGAGCAGATTAGAAGCACCAAGGGTGCACATGCCAAGTTTGCTTGGTTGACAAATTTGTATGAAAAAAAGTTGGATACATCCGAACACCCGGACGCTGATGATTTATGGGTTACCTACCATATGAAGTGTGCTATGAGGTGCTTCTTCCTATTCTTGGTTGACACGTCCATGTTTTTGGACAAAAGGGCAAACTACGTGGATGTGACTTACCTCAAATGCTTCATTGACTTAGAGTCTATTCACGAGTGAAATTGGGGGACAACATGCTTCTTATTCGTTTTCAGGGATGAATCCTTGCCTACTATCACTGTATTCACAAGTTTAAACCTGACCCGTTGTATATTGAGGATTATCCAGTTGCCTGTCAGTTTATCCCTAGCAGAGGGAATGATGCTATCTTTTTGTTTCGTGTGTATATTGATCAGACTCAACATGAAGACATCATATAGATGCCATACGGTACTCACCGAGACAGAGTTCCATTTGACCACACTTCCTTATATTCTGGATGGTTGACATGTGGGACTAACATCACGTGCATGTATTTTCCAAAGCGGTGTATGCATCAATTTAGGTACGTACATATCATTTTGAGAGACCCCCTTCACGATTCTCCCATCACTATTATTTGCAGAGAGTTGGATGGCATTTTGGCGGATTTTGAGAGTCGTCTGATACCAGTGGAGTGTCAGAGTCATGAAGACACATAATAGTGGTTATATGTGGATGGTTACATGACACGGTTCTACAGGGTGTCACACCCTTACATGACACAAAACGCTCTTGGACGTCCACCTAGTCCTGCTCATGAGGAGATCTTAGAGAATGAGTAGGCCATGGACGATCATGCCATTGATGTCTTGTCGATCTGTCAGAATATTACGCAGATGATAAGTGAGGGCATCGATTTTGGACTGTTCGAGAGAGGTGGCGATGAAGCGGTTGCTCTAGCACGTTCCATTCTGTTCGAGGCACGAAATATTAGGTTACCGTAGACAGAGGAAGAGTCGAGGTGTTAGGATTAGACATACTCGGTAGACTATGCTTTTGAGTATATTTGTGTGTTTTCATCGACTTGGAGAACAATTGTTGTACTATTATAATGTTTATGATATGAGCTTCTATAATATTCGATTTTATTAACACAATACTCAATTCTACAAGATTCGTTTTTATGAAACAAATAACAACAATGTTACTCAAATTAAAATTAGTTTGAATTGAAAACATCACAATGTTATTAAACTGGAAAAAAGACCTGGACAACAATTTAGAGATGCATATCCAAATCTATTCTAAAATAGTTTGAATATACATCTCCAAATTAGGTGGTTGTTTGATTTAGTAAAAGACGAAAGGTGATTTTGGAGATGTATTTACGAATTAACTCTAAGAGTGTGTTTGGATGAGGTAATTAGAAATTTTTAAGGAATTTAAAATTCTAAACAATTCAAATGATTCAATTGAAATCCATTCAATTTTAAATTTTTTTGTTTGGATGGAGTATTAAATGATTAAATGTTAAATTTTTAGAGTTATTTTCATAAATTTAAACTTTTGGGCCAAATTTAAAATATGAAAAATAGGGATCAATTTGCAATTTTTGAAAATTTCAAAGGACCAATTTGTAAATATAAAAAATTATTTAGGGACTTATTTGCAATATTATAAAAAATTTAGGGGTAAATTTGTATTTTTTTATAAAATATGAAGACCATTTTGCAAATTTTGAAAAATTAATATAAACAATTTAACATTCAAACTATGGAACAATCTCAAATTCTTTATTTTTTAGTGTCATTTGAAATTTCTTAAATTTGACTTGAAAATAAAATGCTTCAAAAATTTACATCATTTTAACAATTCTCCATATTTTTATCCAAACAATGAATTTTGATCAAATCATTCTAAATTCTCTCAAAAAATTATTTTTCCTCATTAAAATACTTCATTCAAACACTCTGAGATGAATTTGAAGATACATCTTCAAATTAAATTTAAAGAAAAAAAAAACATTTGGTGCAATCCGAAATTATCCTGAAGCATTTTTTGATTTTTCAGAGTTGCGCCCCATTATACAGTATGCAAAGAGAAATATCTTAAATAATAAGCAAAGCCCATCTAGCCCAAAAACAACAAGTAAAGTGAGAGAGTAGTTCAAAGCTTTGTCGTTGCAAATTCATCGTTGATTGTTGTCGTTGCGGTGCGGTGGATGTGATACAAATGGAAATCGGAGGCAGAAAACTGAAAAACACAGAAACAATGGCCGTCGAATCGGTTACCCAATCAGCACCACCGCCGAGATCGAAACCAAACAACACATATTTCGAAAACCCCAAAATTCCCATAGCAGTTGCTCTTCTCATTGCCGATGCCATCTTCGTCTTCCTCATCATCGCATTTGTCCCCTGTAAGTTTCCTTCAAACCTTCAATTCCATTTTTCCATGTATCAAATCAATGCATATGAGCTTAAAATGATATACTCAATTGAATCATTCCAGATACGAAGATAGATTGGGATGCTTACATGTCACAGGTTAAGGGGTTTCTAGGAGGTGAGAGAGATTACAGGAACCTGAAGGGTGATACTGGTCCTCTTGTGTATCCTGCTGGTTTTCTGTATATTTACTCTGCGTTTCTTTATCTTACTGGTGGAGAGGTTTACCCTGCTCAGGTTATTTTTATTCTTTGTTTTTATCTTTATATTTGCAGGATTGTAGTGTTTTGTTATTTATTTGTTCAATTATTTATGGCTTATTAACTATGAAGCACAGACACATAAATGACACTGGGAATAATTTGAAAAATAGACACAGGCACGACCCAAGTATAAGTGCCGTGTCGCTGACACACTTTTCTCAGAGTGCTAAGGAGCTTATTAACCTCTTTCTCTTTTTTCATTGCAGATTTTATTTGGAGTTTTGTATATTATTAATCTTGCAATTGTTCTCTTCATATATGTCAAGACTGATGTGGTAAGCAGGAGTTCCTTCTACAGCAAGTGAATAATAGTTAGTTTGTTCCATAAATATTAGAGTTATATCTTAGAATATGAATAATCAGCACTATAGAATAATTAAGTCCAGCCTTAATTTAATAGAATAAGAAAAGTCTTCCTTAATTGTAGAGCTTGAATGATTCAACTCTTGAATGTTCATCTCCTCTTGTATAAATAGAGCATAATGCTCCTTTCCAATTAAGCAATAACAGAATCTGTTTCTCTCTTTTCTCTTTTAGCTTTTTCTCTCTTCTCTCTCATATCTCACTCTAATATGGTATCATAGAGCTTCGGTTCTATCCATGGCAGCGATTCCAGTAACTACAGCTCCGGCCACCCCAACATCTATGTCCTTCCAACTCAAAATCACAGAAAAACTTGATGAGAAGAATTTCCTACTTTGGCGCCAACAAGTAGATCCTTTCGTTAACGCGAACAATCTTCAAAACTACCTTTACCTTCGTGACATACCGAATCAATACCTGACTGATGAAGATCGTGCCGCTGCTCGTGAGAACCCTGCGTATCGCACCTGGATTACGCAAGATCAGTGGCTTATGACGTGGCTTCAATCCACGCTTTCACCTTCAATTCTTTCACGTGTTCTTGGATGCGTTCATTCCTACGAGCTCTGGGAACGTATTCTTGCGCATTTTCAAAAGCTTACACGTGCGAAAGCAAGACAACTACGAGCGGAACTCAGATCTACAACACTTGAAGACAAATCTGTTGGTGATTATCTGGTTCGCATCAAAGCTCTTGTTGACGCGCTTGCTTCAGTAGGAGATCCAGTTCCAGATCAGCAACACATTGATGTGATTCTTGAAGGTCTTCCTCAAGACTTTGCCTCTGTTATTTCAGTTATTGAAAGCAAGTTTGATTCAGTAGAACTTGAAGAAGTTGAAGCTCTTCTTCTTGCTCATGAGATGAGATACAACAAGTATAAGAAACACTCACAAATGGAGGTGGCTGCCTCAGTGAATCTCACTCAAGCCAATTCTCAACCTGAAACTGATAACTCGAATAACAAGAACAATGAACAAGCTGTGAATTCAACCTTTAATCCAACCTATTCAAGAGGAGGCCGTGCAGCTGGCCGTGGTGGTGGACGCGGCCGTGGGAGAGGTAGGTTCAGCAACATTCAATGTCAAGTTTGCTTCAAATATGGTCATCTTGCTGCTAACTGCTATCATAGGTTCAATCAACAATTTCAACCTAACATACCTGCTGATTTTCAAACAATGAACCTACAAAATTTCTATCCGTATCAACCAATTGGTGGACCTCAGTTTGCTCAGCCCATGGTTAACACTCGGTCACGCCCAAGCTATCAACCAAGACTTGCCCCTCTCCCTGTTCCTCAGTCACATATCACTCCCAATGCTATGATTGCTAACACAACTTCAGTTCCAAGCAGTGCCTGGTTCCCAGACTCAGGAGCTTCTTATCATGTTACCAATGCCTCTCAAAACATACAACAAACCACACCTTTTGAAGGTCCTGATCAGATCTTCATTGGTAACGGTCAAGGTTTGCACATTCACTCTTCAGGCTCTTCTTATTTTCCTTCTCATTCTAAACCTAACACTCCGTTAGCTCTTCATAATTTACTGCTTGTTCCTTCTATTACAAAGAACCTGATAAGTGTCAGCAAATTCTGTCTTGATAATAGAGTTTTCTTTGAGTTTCATGCTGATATGTGCTATGTCAAATCTCAGGCTACCAATGAAATTCTGCTCCAAGGTCGTGTAGGAAGTGATGGCCTGTACCAATTTTCCCATCTTCAGCTTCTTAAGTCTCCTTCAACAAGTCAAGTCTCATGTCTCACCTTAGACTCTAATGCTCATGTTTCAAGATCTGATTCCAGCACTAGTGATAGGGTTTCAGTTTCTAATCAAAATGTATCAGCTAATAACTCATATAATTCTCAACATACTTGGCATTTACGCCTTGGTCATCCAAATTCTAATACTATGAGACTTGTTTTAGCTCAATGTAATATTCCTTATTCTAATAAAGCTGAATCTATCTTTTGTTCTGCCTGCTGTATGGGAAAGGCACATAGGCTGCACTCCCCTCAGTCACAAACTCAATATCACTCTCCTCTTGAATTAATTTTCAGTGACCTATGGGGTCCTGCCCCAGTCAAATCCTCCCAAAACTTTACCTACTACATCACCTTTGTTGATGCATACACCAGATTTACTTGGATCTATTTGCTCAAAAATAAATCTGAAGCCTTAACTATCTTTAAACAATTCAAAGTCATGGCTGAATTACAATTTGGATTTCCTATTAAATCTGTCCAAACTGATTGGGGTGGTGAATTTCGCCCATTTACAAAGTTTCTTTCTGATCTTGGCATTATTCATCGCCTAGTTTGCCCTCACACTCATCACCAAAATGGTGTAGTGGAGAGGAAGCATAGACACGTTGTTGATCTTGGTTTAACCCTCTTGAGTCATGCCTCTTTACCTCTCAAATTTTGGGACCATGCCTTTTTAACCGCTGTCTACCTAATAAATAGGTTACCAACCATGTCTCTCAATCAACATATACCATATGCTGTCCTTTTCAATCAAAATCCTGACTATAAATTCCTTAAAGTCTTTGGGTGTGCTTGTTTTCCTCTCCTTCGCCCATACAACTCTCAAAAATTTGACTTTAGATCCCACGAGTGCCTTTTTCTAGGGTACTCTACAGCTCACAAAGGTTACAAATGTCTCTCTCCAAGTGGTAGAATATTCATCTCTAAAGATGTTCTTTTCAACGAGTCCAAATTTCCTTACAATGATCTTTTTTCCTCTAATGTTTCTCTCCCCTCATCAACCATTCCATCCTCCTCCTCATCTAAAGTAACCCTTAACACACAAGCTCTCCCTCATGTTTTTCCCGTTCCTACTGCTTCCACTACCTCACACTCCTCTTCTTCTTCTCAATCCAATTCCAGCCCCACACCTATTGTCTCACACTCCTCTTCTTCTTCTCACTCCAATTCCAGCCCCACACCTATTGTCTCACACTCCTCTTCTTCTTCCCAATCCAATTCCAGCCCCACACCTACTGCCTCTGGGTCAGCAACCCCTATAACACAAACAGCCAGCACTAATCCTACTCCTTCACCCTCTTCAAATGCCAACAATCAGCCTACTACTACCACTTCACTATCCTCCTCCTCTATTTATGCTCCTAGGGATCCTAACCTTCAGCCTCTCCCCACCAATACTCATCCTATGACTACTAGAACTAAATCTGGTGTACCCTTACCTCGTCTAAATCCTTCCATTTTTCTTGTCAATTCTGAGCCTAAGAGTGTTAAAACTGCTCTCCAAGATCCTAAGTGGTTTGCTGCTATGCAAGAGGAGTATGGTGCCTTGATAAGGAACAACACTTGGTCTTTGGTACCACTGCCTGCTAACAGGAAAGCAATAGGCTGCAAGTGGGTTTTTCGTGTAAAGGAAAATGCTGATGGGACAGTAAATAAGTACAAAGCTAGGCTTGTTGCTAAGGGGTTCCATCAAGTCCATGGATTTGACTTTAATGAAACTTTCTCCCCTGTTATTAAACCGGTCACAATTAGAATTATTTTGACTCTTGCTCTAACTTACAATTGGCCTTTGCAGCAGTTGGACATAAACAATGCCTTTTTGAATGGCATTCTTGAAGAGGAGGTCTATATGATGCAACCCCCTGGATTTACTGCCCCTAATTCATCTCTGGTTTGTCACTTGCACAAGGCCTTGTATGGCCTAAAACAAGCCCCGAGGCAATGGTTTGAAAGACTCAAAACCACTCTTTTATCCTTTGGCTTTCTAAACAGCAAGTGTGATACTTCACTTTTCATCTACAAGCATCACAATGCTGTCATTTATATGCTGGTTTATGTTGATGATATAATCATCACAGGAAACTCCCCTCCTCTCATCAAGCAAGTTACTCAACAATTAAATCATGTGTTTGCTCTCAAACAACTTGGTGACTTGGATTATTTTCTGGGCCTTGAGGTGAAGAAATTGTCCAATGGAAATCTCCTTCTCACTCAATCTAAGTACCTAAGGGACTTGCTAATCAAAACTGATATGGAGAATTCCAATCCAGTTGCTACTCCTATGGCTTCCTCCACCAAACTCATCAAAACAGGGTCTGCTGCCTTGTCTGATGCCTCCCACTACCGGTCCATTGTAGGGGCCCTGCAGTATGCAACAATTACACGGCCAGAAATCTGCTATGCTGTTAACAAAGTATGTCAATTCATGGCACACCCCTTGGAGTCCCATTGGCTAGCTGTCAAGCGTATTCTGCGCTACCTAAAAGGAACTATCACCTCTGGTTTATTGTTCACTCCAGCCTCCACTGTTCCGTTCTCTCTGCACGCCTATTGTGATGCTGACTGGGCTGCTGACCCAGATGATAGAAGATCCACCTCTGGGTCAGCTGTGTACTTAGGCCCTAATTTGATCTCTTGGTGGTCCAAAAAGCAAACTGTTGTTGCTCGTTCTAGTGCTGAGGCAGAGTATCGCAGCTTGGCTCACACCACAGCTGAAGTTTTATGGGTTCAAACTTTGCTAGCTGAACTAAAAATTCCCTTGACAACTCCAACCATCTATTGTGACAACCAGAGCACAGTTGCTATGGCTCATAACCCTGTTCTTCATGCAAGAACAAAGCATATGGAAATTGACCTCTTTTTTGTAAGAGAAAAGGTGATTAATAAGTCTCTCACTGTCTGCCACATTCCTGGTGTTGACCAGAAGGCTGACATCCTCACCAAGCCTCTCTCATGTTCAAGATTTATGGAGCTCAGCAGCAAGCTCAACCTGTCTGCCTCAAGTCAGCCTTTGCAGCCACCTTGAGCTTGTGGGGGAGTATTAGAGTTATATCTTAGAATATGAATAATCAGCACTATAGAATAATTAAGTCCAGCCTTAATTTAATAGAATAAGAAAAGTCTTCCTTAATTGTAGAGCTTGAATGATTCAACTCTTGAATGTTCATCTCCTCTTGTATAAATAGAGCATAATGCTCCTTTCCAATTAAGCAATAACAGAATCTGTTTCTCTCTTTTCTCTTTTAGCTTTTTCTCTCTTCTCTCTCATATCTCACTCTAATAATAAACGATAAAAATGTAGAAAATATTATAGTCCTTGAACTATTATCATTCTATCATCTGTGTCACGAGTTATGAAGTTGATGAAGTATTCGGGAGGGACAGGGTTTTATCCTTGGGGCTATCAAATTTCCTCTCCCCTAACAAACTGCCCACTAACGTTTGCTTATAAATATAATTGATGGACTAGCTTGATTGATTGAGAATAGTTTAGAGACAATTTATTATATTTATACAGTTCAGGAACCGATTAGAAGATAAGGTGATGGTTTAAGGACTAAATTGAAGGTTTATTCAAAGTTAATCCTAAATTGGCCCGAGTCTTTGCTGACATGGGATGATGATTCATGGAACTCATTTTATTCAATAATACATGTTTTTGTGCTTCACATTGGTTTTTATTCTGTAAATTTTTGTGTGCCATTTCATTCAACCTGCAAAATTCAATTTGGATACTAAAAGGGTCTTTGTTACTGGTGTTAATTTAGTTGTTCTTGAAATCCTAACAGCTTCCGTGGTGGGCTCTTTGCTTGCTTTCTCTGTCAAAACGAGTGCATTCTATCTTTGTTCTTCGTCTCTTTAATGATTGTGTGGCTATGACTCTTCTTCACGCCGCATTGCTTTTACTCATGCATAGAAGGTGGAATCTGGGTTTGATTGTGTTTAGGTAAAGGCTACTTTCCTAACTTATCTTTCTATAATATTAATTTCTTTACATGACTATGTATAAATGTTTCTTAGTGGGGCTGTTTCGGTAAAGATGAATGTGCTTCTTTATGCTCCCCCTTTATTGCTCCTCATGCTAAAGGTACATACAATTTTTACAATTGAGTATTTAGCATTTGTAAACTAATGTTATTATGCACTGGCAACAACAACAGTTCTCATGTAGCCTCCTCTTCTTTTCGCACATGCAGGCTATGGATATCGGTGGTGTGTTATTGGCCTTAGCTGGTGCAGCACTGGTTCAGGTCTCTTAGCATTCTGTTTCCTTAATATATTTGTGATGCTATAACTGCATAAATGTTGTGGCATTAGACTTTTTTTCTGTTTTTTTTTTTGAGAGGATCATTCTGTATTCTTAATGCTTTGGTATTTAATTTCCTTATGCGAAATGATCTACAGAGTGAACAAATGTTTAGTTTGCTGATGGCTGGTATATTTTTTTTTCTCAAATGCTCTTTTCCGTGTTTTCAGGTGAGCTTCTCTTCTTGGGCTTCATGATTGATTGGTTCTCAAGGGTGAGCTATGTCTAATTTTAGTGACATTATTTAAATCCTGTCCTGATGAGTGACTGCTACACAGATATTATTGGGGCTTCCTTTCTTGGTTTCATATCCAGTTGCATACATATCAGGAGCCTTCAATCTTGGCCGTGTTTTCATCCATTTCTGGTACTTAGTTTTTAATTTGATTGTGAACGGGGAGTTGAAAGGGTTTACATAATTTCCCAGGGGCCATGTGTTGCTCTTATTACCTATACTAGTTTCACTTAAGTCCAAACATCAAGGGGATTTGGAATCGGATTTGAAGTTGGTATATTGAGTAGTTCTTTTTTGGTGGGGGTGGGAGGGTATAGTGTATTTTTCCTTTATTTTGTTTGGTTCAGTTCAATATTCTGATATATTATCCATTGCATGTTATTAGGTCTGTTAACTTCAAATTCATCCCCGAACCAGTATTTGTATCCAAGGGATTTGCGATCTTTTTGTTGGCTGCTCACCTCATAACTCTTGCTTCATTTGCACATTGTAGATGGTGCAAGTAGGTATAAAAGTTATATTTTATTACTTTCTATTCAGAAACGGGTTATAATTTTGTTTGGCTAGAGTACAAGGAACCCCATCAACTACTAATCAATGGGAAAAAACCATGTGGTTTAAGAAACCACAATTTGATTTCTTGAATTTATGGAGTTGAGTTCCTGTGTTTTGAACCACATGGAGGTTTTCTCCCATTGACCTGTAGTAGCAGTAGGTTAGGTGCATTTTAGCTAAAATAATTCTTAATTAATCTTGTCAAGTTATAGATTTGATAAATTCTTTATCCTTTTTTTTTTTTGCAATAAATAATGTGAACATGCAACAAGCAACGCTTTGTGGTGTTGTATGTTGTGCAGCAAAGTTCCAACTTACAGCAAGACTTATAAACTGAGTGTTATGGAGATGAAAATATTGTGATGGTTTAGCGAACATAGAAGAGAGATAAGACGATGAAGAATGGACATATACAAAAAGTAGGAGTGTCACCTACTGAGGAAAATATGGATGAATTGTGTCTAAAAGATGATTTGGTTATGTGAGAGTATAAGACCAATAAAAGCCGCAGTGAGAAGAGTTGAGTGGATGAATGATAACCCAATATTTTGAGGTAGAAGACTAACTAAAACTAAAACTGTTTAAAATGAATGAGATTGTTTGTCTGAAGACGCGGTGTTCTTGTATGGTTAATGTTTTAGTATTGGCCATGCCACCGAAAACTCCTATTGTAATTAGAATATATTGGATGTTGAGATGCATCTGATTGAAATATTGATGCAGACGGATTATATATATATTCACTAATTTAGTTGCTTACAGACATGAAGGAGGGCTTCTCAAGTTTCTGCATTCAAAATATGTCTTTATGAGACTGAGGTTTGCACTTTTCTTCTCCTCTTTTAAGAAGTTTGACGAGAGCAGTTCATCGTCCATCAAGATCCTTACTAAAGAACGTAAGTAATGTCGAATTAAAAAATAAGGTTACTTGCTCTTTTTTTTTTGTGACAACTGATACTTATATTGCTTTCTCAGATATTGTGACTACTATGTTTGTTGGAAACTTCATTGGCATTGTATGCGCTCGGTCGTTGCACTATCAGTTCTATTCATGGTAAGTATGCTGAGAATGTCCTTTTTGCAGATGTATCATGAGTTAATCTACCTTTTCTGTTGACAAATACTGATTCTCTTATATCACATTTTCTCATTAATTCTTACCTTCTGTATGCTGAGTTTTCTTGAACTATTTCTGATATTATGCAAATAATAACACCGATGTGTCGTCTTGTATTCTAACAAATAGAATGGTGCTAATTTTTGTAATTTGGCATACGGCACAGGTACTTCTATACCTTACCATACTTATTGTGGAGAACACACTACCCAACATTGATCCGGTAAGTTAACTCACATTCTTGTTTTTGTTTGATTTTTTAAAATGATTCTATGTTCTATTGGATTCATAAATTGTTCTTCTCTCTATACAATTAAGTAGATTGTTTTTGTTCGTGGGAGTGGAGGTGTGCTGGAATATCTATCCTTCAAACAACATTTCCTCAGCTGTACTTCTCTGCCTTCACTTAATTATTCTCTGGGGTTTATGGTCTGCTCCACCAGAGAATCCTTATGCAGAAAAAGAACCATCGTCCCACAAAGACAAATAGAAATTTCAAAGGTTCCTCTCGTTATCACGCCTTCACCTTCGGTGTAAATGTTTGTTTGTGGTATATCTGGGAGAACTATTTGCCTAACTGGTTTGTAAAACAGAATCTAGGATCACCAATCAGGATAGATCATGGTTGCCACATTTTCACAAGTTTTTGTTTTATTTTCCTTGTTTATTTGAAATTTGTGTATTCTGTCTTTTCTCTTTTATAAGTAAATTTTAACTTTTTAGATTTATTAAATAATTGATGTACCTAGTCTAGTCTATATATAGTCAAAATGTATCATTTATTCGATAAATTTAAAAAGTCAAAATTTGTTTATAAATTTGTTTATAAATGAGAATAGAGGGAGTACATGGTAATTATGTTTAAAGGCTGTGTTTTAAAAGGAATTATAGGTGTTTGATGTCATAAATGTGTTACTTGTTTCAACTTTCAAGGTATATTGACACAATACATTCTTAGGACTAATAGTACTCCACAACAAAAGTACATACTTAGTGTTAATATCCTAATCCTAAATTTCAATTTGGAATACGGGAAAAAGACACTATTTTTTCTTAAATATATAATCTTTTTTGGTAGTGTATTAAAATTTCTTTTTAAATGTGAGATTAAAAAGTTATTTACTATAATATCTTTAGAAGAATTAACTATCAACATTAAATATTTTTGATTAAAATCAAGGCTATATCAATAATATAAATATTAATTAATTTTAAATTATTGACTTTTTTATAATAATGATCAAGATTTAATATCATTTTTTATGCATAATAATAACTAGAGGGAGTATAATTAGAGATGTCAATTGGACTTATAGTGGGTACCAGCAAATTTATTCTCATCAGGTAAAGTAAAAATGTGTAAAATGGATATGAACGTGGACATTATATGTGTGAGTGCGCGTGCATTTAGGGATGATAATGGATAGAGTATGGGTAGGATACTATAGTTCTTATTTGAGATGTGAGTGTGCATTTAGGGATGAGAATGGATAGAGTATGGGTAGGATACTATGGTACTTATTTGAGATGTGAGTGAGGAAGAATTTGAATATTTGAAATGTCCCATTTTATTCTTATATATCAATAGCGGTTGAAACCATTCACATGGGATGTAACGCGTTGTGCAGACAAATATCTGGTTGGACCAAACAGTGATTGATGCGCTGAAGTGTAGGATTGACTGCTTTTAATCTAGCGAGGGTTTACCTATTCCGTGCATCTTTGAACTCGAGGTTGGTTCTTGAGCCTTTTAGCATGGGCCTTGCGAATGATGCAAAACAATTTCCCCTAAAGTCCTTATTCCTATGTTGTAGAATGAGGGTTTTGCCATGTTGATCTCTATGGCATCTTCTAGCAGGAGTAAGTGAAGAGTCTTGATGGGACGTCACTAGCATTGAGAACATATGCATTAAATATTTATTTATTGATCAACAACATTTTGCAGGGAAGTTTTGATGCATGTCCCTACGTTTGACAATAATGATGTCTTTTTCGTCTTAGGATACTCGTGTACACTGAACAACCCATGATAAGATCTCAACTATTGGTGGCGCGATTCACGCTTCTTAACATGATAGATCACATTGTTCAATGCAGTGGAAATTCATATAAGAATTTATTGGATTATTAATCTTGTCTTTTTTGCTGCTTGTGGATTTGAGAAGTTCTCTTTCTTCTTAGTTTGCGATATCTTCCATTGATGTCAGATCTTGTAAGTAAGTTTTCATCTCTAATCAGCTCATGCGCCCATTAATTTAGCACGTGGATACCATGAATCCATCGCTTTTAAGGTAACACCCAGGTTTTTCTTTCTTTCAACCTGTTGTATTCCAAAATTTGCTCTCTCATTTATCAAGTAATCTCTCACAAGATCTCCTTTGGTTCAAGACTGCACTAGGGTTGATCAGCTCAAGACACCTCCTTAAGCACTGATGACTGAAAATTAGGGTTTGAGATTACACAAGGACAACTGGACTTTTAATTCCCCGTATGACTTTCATGGATCATTTTGGACTCTCAAGATTGCTCATGTCAATTTTCAAGTCTTGGATCACATTTTTGCTCAGTCAATTGATCAGTTGACCAAAAAATCAGATGTATTGGGGAAAAAGTCAACTATGGTCAATTTACATTCAAACTTCATAATTTTTTATCCATGTCAATGTTGTGAACTTATATATGTCATTTGATCAAGTTTGGACCATAATTCCTCAAGAAATTTGATCAAATCATCAAAAGGGCAAAATAGTCAAAATTAGGGTTTTGACTGAGGAAGTGCAATTTCTGATTTTTGACCTAGCAAATGGTTAATTGGTTGGAAACATGATCTCAAGGATTTAATTGCATCATTTTGACCTAATGGCATGACTGAAAACATCCCTCAAGATCAATTGATTGATAGTTGATTTTCAATCAACTGATCAAAAAGTCAATTGTACACTGAAAAGTTAAACTTTGACTTTTTGGTCAAATTCAAGTATCAAAGAACACAATTCATCAAAACATGTCAAAATATGAAACTTGTCCATCAATAAATCAAAAAAATCAAGATTTCATTTTGAAAAGTTAAAATTTCTAAACTTAGAATTTTTTCCAAGTGTTGAAAACTTCATATTTTTTCACAACTTTGAGCCAAATTTTCACCATGATGTAAGATGATTCAAAGGAAACTTTCAACATGAAAGTTGTAGATCTCAATGAGATCTAAAACATTGTAGAACACAACTTCTCCTATAAATGCATGTATTTCAAGTTATAATTTTGTGAATACATGTTCATGAAACTTAGAAACTTAGTGAAATTTTGCCCTAGTTTAGGTAGGATTTTGACCTAACTTCATGGAAATTTTTCACATAGTTCCAAGGGGAATTTTCAAAATTTACCAACATAGAGGTTGTAGAGGATGTTACAAGCTTTCCAAAATATTCAAGAACTCATTGAGATCATGTTTGAGCAAGGAGAATCGAAGACAAGAAGTTGGACATTCATTCTTAAATTATAGGTGATTTCCATGATGAACAAAAATTCAAATCCAAGCCTAGGCTGCATAATCTTTGCTTTACAGGCCTCAAACTTGTTTGTCACTCCATAATTAAATGTTTACACAGTTGTTAGAGCTTTGATTCAAGCACTTGAGCCATTATCCAAGTTGCATTTCCATTTATGTCACAAAGTTACCATTCCATTCTTGTAAAGAAGCTTTAATCACAAAGTCAATGCATAGAGCTTTGCACTTGTTCCTTCTGATCACAAGAAATGTCAAAGGAAAAGCAACATGTCTAGAGCCTCCCATAAACTCAGGCCATTCTTGTACTATGCCTTTGAAACCATATTTCCACTTTTCTTCAAAATCAAGTAACATAGCCATCAGTCTATATCTTGTTTTTCTGACCCTCTCAAATAACTTTTCAGGTTTAAGAAGATTGAACACAACCTTACTTTCTTCAATAAGGTTTTTGGAAAATAATGTCATTGGTCTCTTTTCTTTATGCTTTTCATTTTAGTGAACCTTTTTGTCGTAGATGTAATCTGACAAGGATACCATATTCACTATAAAGTTTGTCATAAGGAGATGTTTGTACTTTTTTTTTACGTGTTGACAAAATCCTTATAATGGAAGGCATTCAACTCGAATTTAACAAGGAGATAGAGAATAATTCTTTGGTATGGGTAGACCTAGAGACATTGGATGCTAACTTTGTCTTTGTTATCGAAGGTAGTTTGGACCGTGCCTTCACGACAGTGGGGCCCCATGAAGACTAAGGGCGGGTCTCCCTAAAGAAGGCAAAAAGATGTATAGTAAATTCGACGGGTGCATAATTCCCCTTCATAAGTGCATACTCTTTTATAGGTTTCCACTTTACCTTCAATGATTTCTAGGTTGACGTGCTTAATAATTTACTAATCCGGTAAGCTGGGCCTATATCAAGGTCTTCTAGTATTGGTGTGAATACAAGAATGATGTGGCAACCACACCGTTTTTCTTACACCTTTTTAAACCTCAATGTAGCTCTGTTGATTCGGCTTGGGGTCAAGGTTTGATATCCCTTAAACAATATTATAATATGTTAGAAGTATATTATGATAACATGGAACATTTCAAAGACCGGTACTTCTTGGTTATACCTACCTCAATGAGGCAACACACACTAACATATGTACCATAGTTCTCACGCCTCCTTACCAATGTTCATATATATTTATTCTCCAAGTTCTGGTGTCAAAGTCATTTCTTGATGAATTCTACATCATATGTCTATAAAGTAGATGTTTTGTCTTAAGAGAATATTGGCCCAAAGAGGACATTGGTATCCTTCTTTGAGGGTCTGAGATACAACGAGGGTGTCGTTCCTTCTGATGTCGCATCGAAGAAATAAGGGGAATGGTGCATAGAGACATACTTGTTGGTGGATGCCTACTCGAAAAAGGGTAAGAAAATTAATTTTGGTGAGTGACAATGGTTCTCCTTCTCAAATAGTATTTTAGTGTTATCTTTTATGACCTGTCTATTTTTGGCCTGCAGATAAGATGCGATGTTATAAAACAACACAAAAGATAAAAAAGACTCTACGAGTAATTCCTTCCCTGATGAATTTTACCAAAGCTTAAACTATTGAGGGGGGGGGGTCATATTGTCGTGACCTCTTACGAACTCGTTAATCTCTATTTACTTACCTCTGTGCGGGTGTAGGCTCATGGTTCTCTTGACAGAGTCTTAGTGGAAGAGGATTTGTGCTTATCTTCGCTCATAATTGGAGGAAGTCTGATTGTCGACCATGAAATCGAGGTGTCAATGAAGGAAATGCAACATGTCTTCTAGCTAAGACACTTAGGAAGAACATGAGGAACCTAGTATAAGAACAAGAAGTGTTTCTACATCTGGCCTTGAGATTTTGATGATAACTTTACAGGTTATCTTAGAAAATAATTGTATACACTAATGGTTTCGTTCTAGTATATAGATACTGCTATAATATTCTGACTCTGTTA